ACACACACACACACACACACACACTACTGCTTTAATCTTGTTTTCCATCCGTGAACAAGATTATTGACAGGGGAAGAAGTGTAGACCACCTAAAGTTCAGCTGCAGTTTGAAAGCCTCTTAAGGCTGAGTGGAGCGAGTTATATTTTAACAGTATTATGGCTAGTACATGCATACTGTACTTATCAGATTAAAAAGTCCCAAGATGCAACTATAAGGCATGTCTCTTGTTAGGAAGAGCTGAAGAGCCTTTAATATCAAATGTGAGCTCTTTAACTTCTCCATCATAGTTGTTATATAAAAAGCTTTCGTGGGGTGGATCAAAACACTGTAAATCTAAAAGCAGATGATCTTCAAGTCTCTACAGGCCGCTGTTAGTTATTATCATAACATATCAAAAGATTAGTCAAATACAATCAGAAAAAATGTGTTATTCCAAAATCTTTATCATGCATTTCAAAAAGAAAATCACATCATCATATACAGTAAACCTAAAAAATGCACATGACCCCTCGGTGCATATTAAACCAAATATTCCTTCTTCAGATCTTTTAAGAACTATTACTTGTATAACACAGTTTGAGCTTCTTATTAAAAGCATAATCCTTTCAGAACATCGTATTATATAATGCTCCCCCCTTTTTATGAAACAAAGTAAACCCTAAATGTTGTGGAGGAAAACTATTTGAATACCACTGATTTTCAAAACAATTGACAACGGAGAATTTGTAAAACAATAGTTAACGGACCACACAGGGATTGTAGATTCAGCCTTATAAAATATACAAATACGACAGTGTGTTATACAGTTATATGTCTAAACCTGTGTTTTGTGCTTAAAATGATTTTATTTTTGTTAAATATCTCATGATTACATATAGTTGGCCTGTAAAACTGATGAACCTCATGGTGCGCTTATTGTCATGGGACATTTAGGTATTTAGAAAGCTTGAATCAATGTAGCCAAGCTTCTGTTTGTGTCTTCTACATTTTCAATGGAGCTTGTTTTGAGTCTTGGTGGTGGGCTTATTTGATCTACAGCTTTGGGGGAGCAGCTGTTGATGCTGTTTTGTTGTGGGGCAGATTTGTACTTGTGTCTTTAATTATTACCAAGTATTGTGAACCTCAAGAGTCTCTGCACACCGTCTTGTTTTCATGGTATCGGGTGTCGACGCTGCTTTAATCTGCTGTGTCGGCTATATTTATTAAGTGACCTTTTGAATGGTCTATTGTGTTACATAGGAGTTTACATCAGTGAGGGATTGTTACTTTGGAATAAAGCTATTGGGTATAATTACTCATCAAAGGCTCATACTAGTGACTGTACTACACCACCCAAAAATATATCAATTATTTTGTAATGCCCTTTAGATACAAATATTCTTATCGAATGATATGACTAAATCCCTAATATGGTGGGCATGAGGATCAATAGCAAGCAATAATAGATTTTACTAGTATTTATTTAATTCAACCAGAGGAGAAGATATTAAATTGGGTATTCTTGTCTAAAAAAAGAGCTGCAACAATTAGAAAATAAATTGGAGTGTTTTATTTTATGATTTGGATAATCAATTCATTATCTTTCATTTTTTTAAGCCTTATGTCTAACCACAACCAAGAAATGTTTACCTTAACAAAATAGCCAACATTTTAATTCAATCAGGAACAGCTTGACCAAAGAATATGTCATCAACAAGATTATGGATATCATCAAACATCTCAGTATTAGACACAAGACCTGGTACCAATACAAGTATTGTCTCTGATGATGCACAGCCCTACTGTACTCACATCAGATAGGATATCCAACATTCAAAACAAAATAAAGGAAAGAAAAACCGTCAATCAGAACATGATTAGACTCGCAGGGAGTGATAACCATCGGAATGCTCATAGTCCCAAGATAACCTTTATAAACCTTTGTAGTTGTCTCAGTTTGACCCAGCTACAAACAGATCGCTGTATCATTATGTGTTTGTTAGGAAGCCATTATTGTGTTTACTTGTGCCAGCTCTCTCGCATCATTTAGCTTTAAACATGGGTTGTCTTCAACAATTAGTGCTGACATGAAGGCAGACAGACAGTGATGAGCTGTAGTCTATTCAGCCTCAGGAAACGTGTGTGTGTGTGTGTGTGTGTGTGTGTGTGTGTGTGTGTGTGTGTGTGTGTGTGTGTGTGTGTAACGAGGAGATTTTTTCGTATTAAATTCACCAGTACCAATGGTAGGTCCAACCATTTCGTCGTGTATTGCCGGTAGTTTTGGTACTTTACCAAAATTTTAGGTTTTGTTTTACAAATGTATAAGGCTTTATTGATAGTTACAATAGGATCGACAGGTGACAAATCCTTATTGTACAGTTTGTAAGGGGTGATCGTTACAATGAGTGTGTTGTGAACGTATGTATTGATTACAGGAATTCCCTTTAGCAAAATTCAAATCCCTTTACCACGACAGAATGTTCCCTCATCTATTGTATATATATTGGTGAGACGGGAAATATATCTGGTGGGAGCCTTGCGTCGGGAAGCTGATCCTGCGTCTTAGCCCGTCCCGATGGTGTGTCGCGCCTCAACCTGGAGCCGCAGGTGCTTTTCCTTTCTTCTTAGTATGTCGTACCGCTTCTTCCTCAACTCAGCATACCATACTCGAATCGATCGAAATCGAATTTCTGCCCTTTCGTCCTTTGTTTCCCAGGGGCGTGAGGGACTTCCGGTTTTTATGTGGATGGTTGTGGAAGTTTTTTTACAAATTAGCATTTGTTTCTCTTGTTTTGGTCAAACAAAGGTCTGGGTGTACAATGTAACCGCAAGTCCACTTTGTTTGGTTTATGTTACAAAGTAATAATCTTCGTACTGTACCTAGTACGCTATAATTGTATTGTCTCTAGTATGAGCGGACTTGACAGAAGATTTCTTTGGTTTAGTTCCGATTTCTTGGGAATTAACGAACGATTTTTTTGTTTTCCTACGAAAGTACCCACGGACTTTGCATCCAAAAATGTTATTGGTCTTGTTGGAGATAGAACATGTAGTTGACCTTGCAAGGATGCATATGTGTTGAGTCACTGTGCATTCTGCGGAACTTAATCGTGAAAACCTGTCAAAGGACTTGTCGTCTCTCCTTCGGAAGAGGTTACCTCTGTAGCTTACGATGTACAGTACTGTCTCTTAATCTCTTAGCTTCGAAAGTAGGATGGGTTGAGAGGCTCCGTTTTTGTCGTACTTCCCCTCACATCCGACAAACGTCGACGACGAAAATCCGTCGCGGTTGTTTACTCATTGTTTACAAGTTTCTATTGTCTATCATCCACGCAGTGGTTTTGTGTGTATGTGAGGTTTGTGATTTGAATCTTGTTTTTGTAGGCTGTGGTAGTATTCGGAAGTTGGATACTAAAGGTAATTGCAGTAGAAAATAGTCTTCTTCTCCCTTGTATCATACTTAATTGTAACATAACGGTTTCAAACTAACTGTTGTGTGTGTGTGTGGTGGTGGTGTTTTGTGGTGGTGTGTTGTGTGTGCTTGTGTTGCTGTGTGTGTGTGTGTGTGTGTGTNTGGAGGTGCGATTTCCTTGTTTAGGATACACAGCCAAACACAGCCAAACTCAACCTGAACACACACAAAGTCACAGCCGAAGTAAAAACAATAAGCCACACTTATTGTTTTTACTTCGGCTGTGACTTTGTGTGTGTTCAGGTTGAGTTTGGCTGTGTTTGGCTGTGTATCCTAAACAAGGAAATCGCACCTCCACGGAGCTCAGCGCGATTCGTACCGACCAATCAGAGCACACTGGGCTCACAGGGAGGGGGGGGGGAGCTGCCGTTTAGTGGAGAAAGTGAATACTGCTGAATACACATACTTTACAGAGATGCTGTATGCGAAACCAATGTGAGTTTGGAAAATTGCACAGTATTTTTCTATTTTAGTATACCTCAACAATGGAATTATGATTAGTGGAAATGGCCATGACATGGGTCCTTTAAAACTCATTCACTGTAACGTTACATTATTTGATACCTCCAAGTCCCGAAGAATAGCATTAACTTTATACTTAAATAACATAACAGAGCAACAGGTCTTACCTTAAACCCAGTGTTGGTTCTGGTCTTCCTCTGTGCAGAAGCCCCATCACATAAGGAAACACACCGGGTTATAGTTCATCTTATTCTTATGATAGTTCATTTTTCTGGCCACAAATGCAAACTCTGAGACGGGGCGCTCACAGGTGAACTCGCGGGACTTGATCGAAGGGTTAGCTAAATTAGCATAAAAACAAACTTTAAATATCAGTCGCCGTTGTCCTTAACATTGGTGCTTTCGTCATTTTTGTTGCTGTAGTTTTCGTTTTTCTTTTTCTTATGTATTTGTTCAAGAAGAATTGAAAATGTTTAGCCCATGCCGTTTCTTCCAAAAAATGTTGGTTAAACCGCCATCAGTACACAACCGGAAGTAGTGTTTTGTTCATAACGCAGTGTTTGTGCAGAAACGCCCCCTGGTGGTGGGGAATGAAATACAGAATAGCACAATAACTCAATATTATGCTTATTTCATGCAGTTTCCGCAAAAACCAGGGCATAAATAAATACCGTAACCTTACATTCATATACAATTTTTAGGGAGCTAAATGCGAGTAATTGAAGATGTCAGTTGAGAATATGTATGGTAGATACAACAAGAATGACTTTTCACCAGTTTCAAGATCAGCAGTTAAAATCCCGGAGATTGACAGGTAAGACAATCAAGAGATACACATAAAATCTTCATCATTATAGCTTGTGTAGTTTAATCTTTAACACATTACACTCAACAGTATCAATGAATCCTGAGCAGACATCAATTTTTTGGCCATTCAGTTAGAGACCTCAGCACTGTAAGGTTAGTGATTGAGTTTATGCCGACTTTAAAGCACCAATCAGGAAGAGCACAACGTGAAAATGACATGAGCAATGTTCAGACATATTTAAACTTTAAATGCATCCTGGCTTTTATAATTGTCATGTCTTTATATGCTTACAACTCCTACTGGACCCCCAGTCTGTATCATCCATACAGAAATGAATACGTTTGATAGTTTACAGCATGTCAATGGACACTTTCCTCTGTCACACACTCATCCTTATTGCCAAATCAAAGTAAGGATTCATTTTTGATTTGCCTGAACAAAGCCACATGAGTAAAAGCCTCATTTAAGATTGTAACTCCTGCTTCAAAGTGCTCACAACAGGAAAGGCTCAGTAGTTGGACAAAATGCAGATAAAGATGTGTGAAGAAAGTGGTATAGAGTTACAAATCACCAGTATAAAACTAAACATTCAGCAATTGATAAAGCACAAAATGCGGCTTTTAACATCAGTGTGAAAATTGATTATAAATAATAAATCACATGCTGCATTTTTCTGATTTAAGTTTAAAAGTAAAAAAAAGTTCTGATGTACAAATGGACTTACAGACTTCAGTTGAAAATGCCTGATCATTAAAACTTTATCTAACTATAAATGTTTAATGCTTATCAAAGTGCACCGGAAGTTTTATTGATGCTGGTGGATTGAGAAGGCAAAACCCATGTACACAAAACGCACATACCCAACAGTACCTACACTTTTCATATTCAGACTAAAGCAAGTAGATAAAATGCCCAAAACGGTGTATAGTAAAGTGAAAAGGTCAAAAACATCACAGCGTTAACGACTCAAATGAACTTAATGACATAGCTTATAACGATCACATACAGCGAAGCATAAAAATCTCTCAAATGACATGAAGTTATGTTCAGCCTTAAAGCACTATGGATTTACATGTATTATTCACATTGATGGAAGGATCACGTATCTTCAACTCTTGATTATCATTAGACATTGATGATATAAAAGATCTGTTCGAAAAGACCTGATCGTCACAAACGCTACATGCTGCTTTTCAATTCACTTTTCCTTGTGCTCAATTTTTTTGTATTTGTACCCGCTGTATTTGTGTAGAGTAGGAATCTGAAGACTGTCTGAGCTTTCATGGTGCACCTACACTCCCAACAGTGTATTTTCGCTGAAGCAGTTTGATTCTAAGCTGTTGTAAATTGGTAAAGTCAAGTTAGCAGAGGCCGATGTGAACCTGTATTGCTCCATTGAAATACCGAAGAAAAAATGCAGTGGAAAAATGTAAACGTAGCATCTGAGAAGTGTGTGGTTCTAGCCCCCTCAGTTTAGCCCCCTGAAAGTGTATAGGCATGGTAAATGTGGTGTTTGTAGTGTTATGTTCCTTTCTTTTTTTGGTCCATTGAAGCAGTGTCACACCACCCTTTGAAGGATGTAGAGGATGCCGATGCTGTCGATGGTGACGAAGGTGGAGAAGTCGGAGGAGACGTGGATCCTCTTCAGCGCTGTTCCCCTCGGAAAGAAGGTCTGCAGAGCCTTGCCTTTCTCCACGTCCCACCACTGGACAAAAAGAGAGAAAGAAAGACGGTTGAAATGCTTTGGACTTCAAACAGACCTCACAGTTGCAGACAATCTTGGACTGAAAAATAATCAAGAACCGTGTTAATTAGTGAGCTTTAGAGGTGTTGATAGGTGGATTTTGTTACTGTTTCCAGTATTTATGCTAAGCTAACGGCACCCAGCTGCAGCTTCATAGTAACCTTCATGTGTAAATGTGTCTCAGTTTTCAGCATTTCTCTCAGAACTCTTTAATAATCTTTGATCCAAACACCATGACGACCTCCTAACCTATTAGGCTTTCTTCTCCTCATTCTCTGCTTCGATCTCTCAGGCAAAAAGCACTTTCTTTCAAGATAAGATCCAATCTTCCTATTCCAATCCCAAAAAACTATTTTCCATCTTCTCCACCCTCTTGGACCTCCCCAAAGCCCCTTTTCCCCTCATCCCTTCTGTCAAGCGACTATTTCAACTACTAAGGTTGATGATATTCGCTCTTTTTTTTCTGACTCACCTTTACTCACCGCTGGGTCACCAGACCCGCCTTTCACCCACACACTAACCTCCTTTTCCCCTCTCTCTCCAAGTGAGGTTCTTACCCTCATTACCTCTGCCCGTCCTACCACCTGTCCTCTGGACCCTATCCCCTCAAACCTCCTTCAGACTATCGCTCCTGATATTCTACCGTTTCTCACCCATTACATCAATACTTCTCTAACTTCTGGTCACTTTCCAAACAGTCTCAAGGAGGCAAGAGTAAACCCTCTCCTAAAGAAACCCACTCTCAACCCGTCTGATGTTATAAACTACAGGCCTGTCTCTCTCCTCCCGTTCCTGTCAAAAACACTTGAACGCGCTGTCTTTAAACAACTCTCATGTTATCTCCATCAGAACAACCTTCTTGATCCGCACCAGCCTTGCTGTCACTGAGGAACTGCACACGGCTAAAGCAGCCTCCCTCTCCTCTGTCATCATCCTTCTGGACCTGTCTGCTGCATTCGACACGGTGAACCATCAGATCCTCC